TTCCGTAATACATAATGGTTAAATACAAAACAAAATGGCGGTGTCAGTATTTTAATCTTTTGTCTCCGCTAAAACGCAATTTTATAGGGTACGTACGCACTGTTGCATTTTTGTAAAACAACATAAATGTGCCCGGATGTAACTCATTTTCGTTCGCCGCCATTTTTTTTTTTCGTTTACTGCTTGCCAAAAATGTGACTCTAATTGGTCTATTCAATACAAAAAAAACTATGATAGCATTCATTGTGCGATCGACGCTTCTTTTCCAACTGTCTGTTTTCATCCGTGTTTCCTGTAATCTCGGCATCGTAATTTAAGCATTAACATATCAAGTACAGACCGTTCGAACTCTTTGCACGCTTGTGATCTGTACCACTTCTAAATTTCCGCCTCTTCGTCCATAACTCCGATAATGTCCCAGAAATGAACATTCAGTTTGCTGCCGCGGTCAAGCATTGTGCACGAATGATCACGCTGAGACAGGTAGTTATTTTTGCAGCCAAAGCACAACAAGCGCGAGATATTTTCAAACTTTTTTACAATAGCTTTCGCGTAATGTATCTGCAGCGAAAACTCGAGTGAGCAGACGGACGTACTGTGCTGCTGTCCAACTTTTGATTTGTCTGCTGCTGTAAGCTCCATACTGTGTGACAGTGTTTTAATAATGACAAGTATTTTACGGCCAGCTAGCTCACTTTTTGCCAAGGCCATGTATCCCCTGGCAGACAGACAATATACATTAGCGTGCTAATTGTTGTTTGGATGTGTCTTGAAAAAACATTTCAATACATACCGTCTAATGCCTCCATTCAATCTCGACCGAACTGTTTGCTTATTAAACACTCCGCCATCTTTGATGGCACTTTAAAGCTATACTTATTTTTTTAAGGGATAATCATCTCCCTTTCAAATGGGATTAGCAAATGTGATTAAAAATAAGTTGTGTATTCGTATTTGTATGTTAAATTGTATTTTAATTGTATTGTATTGTTATTATTGTTATTGTATTGTTATCGATTGTTATTCCCCGATATTACTCAGTAACTAATCCTTAATCGATTACGTAACTAATCCCCGATCCCGATCCTGCTCAGGCTCAGGGAACCGCTTCGCAATTATTGCCTGGCCAGTACATTTCCATACTTTATGGGCGATTACAATGCCCAGTACCTGGAAAGCGGTGGTACACGTGATAAATTAATGTTCAAATTTATTTCTGATACAAGTTTAAAGTGTTGTTAATGTATAACCTATGTGCAGAGGACCCATGAACTCGTATGTTTCTTATGATGATAAGTGCCGTACTTTAATTTATCACGTGTGTGTACCCACTGATATTTTAGATTGTGTAACTGGTTGTCAGATTATTGATGACCACTGTCTTAATGTGTCAACACATAGGCCTGTCTTAACAAAATTTACATTTCCAGTTAATTTATCACATGAAAATTTAAATGTTGCTGAATCTGATAAAACAGTGTCTGACACACTGTGACCTTGACACGGCAGGAATTGACCATGCCTATGCAACTATTGTCACAAAAGTGAATAACTGTGCTATGAGCGTATTTCCTAGAAAAAGATATGTGACATTTTTGAAGGCATATTGGAACGACAAACTATCTTCTGCCCGTAAAACAATGTCGGAACTTCGTGCAATATGGTACCGAGAGGGTCGCCCACGGGGTGGTGGTAACCAAGCTTATACAAGCTATAAATGAGGAAATTCCGTAGATTACATAGAAATGTGATATTTAAATATTTGCGTTTCTTAAATGAAGAAATGGATCGTATGGCAGAGCTTGATTCTGATCGTTTTTGGAGACAAGGCAAAGTGACATTATGCTCATATTTTCATAGTCAAGTTGAGCTGAATTGACTTTATATTTCAAAAGATTAACTGTCAAAATGGTGTTTGACAAACAGTTGATATTGGAAAATGTTTTGAGTAAAATTATAAATCTGCCTAAAATCTAAAAAGACTGCCCCACTCTTTTATATAAACTAAGCGTAATAGGTAAATTTTAATGGATATGTACAGAAATTTCGTTGGGATCTCTGCGTTATTTATTGTTTATACGAACTTAATTATTAAATAAAAACGAATTATGGCAAAATGAAAACTTATTTTGATATTCAACCCTTAAAGGGATACTCAGGCAAAATAATGACAAAAATATAAAAATTATCTTTTGTACTCAAATCACCATAAAATGACATTTATTAAAGTCCCAGCATGAATTTCTGTATATATTCTATATATTTTGGGTTTGAAACTTAAATATATCTATTTATCACACACCCGTGCCGATTTAGCGACTCCGTAAATATGGTATTGCACGGCCGTGCATATATTTTGACGCGACGTCATTAGCGTTATACAAACATAGTGTAAAGACGCGCTAAATGTTAGCGTTATACGTACTATAGGCGCGTCAATGAAAAATGACTCTTTATTTCACTTTAAACTGTCTTTATTTTGGGCATGTGATAAATAGAATATTAAATTCGTGTAAGTGCATTACTGAATTTATTACACTCGTTGAATAAAATAATATGCTCGCCAGAGGCTCGCATAATATAATTTTATCCAACTCGTGCAATAAATTCAGTATTAAACTTACACTCATTCACTATCCTCTATATATGTTTAACGAAATTTGGACGCCAACAGAATCACTAAATAGTTTTAAAACAAGTCATGTGATTGAAACAAACCCTGGAAGTTACAATAACAGGTATTGTGGATATTGTATGATTAAAACAAGTCTAAGAAATTGATTTGACATGTTCTTTAACGTTTCAAGAGTACACGGTAACAACTATTGTGAAATCTTAGCGCTTTAACCTGACCCACGCGGGTCAAGTTAGGAAAATACCATTTTATTCTTTATATGGAGAAAATTTTTGTTCCTTTGACTGTTTGGTGTTTTCATTTTGATGACATTAACAGAATAATGAACGAAAAATACAAAACTAAGAAATTAAAATTTTGCCTGTGTCTCCCTTTAACTCATTATATACCCTTGGATGGGCATTATGTCACTTTAAGTGTAGACGCAAAAAAAAAACAATCGAATCTTTGTGCTGGTATTAACTTTGACGGTCGTGTTGTTAGAGACCGGAGTAAAATTACTGATGGATGGAGAAAGTATTTCGAAAATCTGTATTCTTCGACAGAATGTGTTCAATTTGATAATGAATTGTTCAACAGAGTGGAGCGTGAGGCGTCTACTCTCGACAATGTTCAGCATGACACAACCGTCGTTGTACTTCCTGAAGATGTCAGCAATGCAATACTTAGTGTTCCGAAATGTAAAGCAGGCGGGGTTGATAATTTGCAATATAAACTTTTTATACATGCAAGGACTATTATTTCACCTGTACCTGCCAATCTTTTTACTCAAATGCCCCAGTATCTTTTATTGAAGCGCGGTGTGATAGTTACACTACACAAGGGAGGTAATAAACGTAAAGATCAACCAGATAATTATCGCGCGATTACTCTCACACCTGTTGTTCTTAAATTGTTTGAAACTATTGTTATGAATCGATGCAAACACGAAATATTATCATGCATAAACAAACAGCAAGGAGGCTTTCAGGAAGGTTTAGGGTGTTTGATGACTTCATTCATTGTCCGTGAAAGTATCCACTATAAGCGAGAACTTGGATCTTCAGTCTACGTATGTTACCTGGACGGTCGCAAAGCATTTGATACAGTGTGGCATTCTGGTTTGCTGTATAAACTGAGACATGAATGTAACATTGACAATACGTCTTTCAAAGCTATTCAAGCAATGTATACAGATATGCAAAGTTGTGTGAAATTCAAAGGACTTTCTTCAAGTTGGTTCAACGTTGAGCAAGGCACTCGTCAAGGCAGGAAGAGTTCCCCCGTATTTCACTTATTGTACATTAATGACCTTATACGACAGTTAAAAGACAGTGGGCTTGGAATGTGCATTTACAATTTTGATATAGGCTCACCAACCGTTGCAGACGACATGATGCTGATGTCTTACTCAGTGAGCGGTTTAAATGAAATGTTGAACATCTGTAACACATACGCTAATAAATGGCGATACCAATATAATCCTGGAAAGTGTTCTATAGTAGTATACAATGATAACAACAGGGATAATATTAGTAGAACATTCAAACTGGGATCAAACACAATTGCTGAGAAGAATCAATATGTTCATCTCGGCATTATAAGCGACTCATACTTAAACACAAAAAGGTGCATTGAAGAAGCTTGTAGGAAGTTAAGAGGATTGTTTTTGAGCATTTGCAATAGTGGTGTCCATCCAGATAACTTAAATCCTATATCGTCCAAGAAAATCTACAATAGCGTGGTTATTCCTAAAAGTCTTTATGGCTGTGAGTTGTGGGATGTTATTTCTACAACAGATTTACAACTGCTTGAACGATCTCACAGATTTTTTACAAAAAAATACAGTCATTGAAGACAAATACACTCACAGACTACGCACTAAGCTCCTTTGATATGGTGCCCATTGAATCAATAATAGACTACAGAAAGTTGCAATCTTTGGGACAACTATGTCATCTATCAAACAATTATTTAGCAAAAGATATTTTCAACAACAGACTAGTTCGTTTTCTGCAATTTAATACTCCATTCCGTGGATTTTTGCCAGATATCTATAGACTTCTACAAAAGTATCAACTATGCGATGTGTTACATACATACAAAGAAACGGGATCCTTTCCATCGAAAATCGCTTGGAAACGTACACTTACAAAACATATAATTGATACTGAAAAACTTAATCGATATAACAGGCTAATGACAAGTGATCATGGCGACCTTTTAAGGGCTGTGTTAAAAGTGAATGAGCTACATGTACTGTGGCAGATAGCAAAATGTAACCAAACTCTTTTGAATATATGTTCCGTATTAATTTCCGCCATTAGAACCCTCTGTTCAAATGAATATATTCGAACGTGTTCAAAGTGTTCGGTGTTAACGGATGATATGACAACGCATTTGCTGTTGAACTCTTCTGAAACCAATTTATTAATTGGAAGTATGTGGAACATCGTAATCGACCGCCTTGGCATGGACTGGTTTTCGGACTTGATCGGCCGTGGGCCTAGGGAGCAGTGTGTCAGAAGCCTTAGCTTGGCCATCCAGAAAATCGATACGAAATTTTCAAACTTTTGGATTACTAAGTGTATGTTCAAAGTGTACAAAATGCATTATTCAGAAAATAGCACAATTCTTTTGAAAGTATTGTTTTTATTTTATAAGTATCGATGTAATGTCTACTGAAACAAAGCTGAACTTTGTGTATGAATAAGAGAAATAACCATAAATTATGCATATTTGATTTGCATTTATACATGTACATGAAAATTTATATTCGCACATATCTTTTTCATTTAATTGCAAATTTACTGTATGTATTCATAATTGCAAAAGTGTATCGATTTGGACTGTATTAAACTGTTGTTTCATACTTCATTTATAACAGTAGCATTGACGATTTAAGTTTAAAAATGAATGATAATTATCATTAATTAAGTGGTTATAGGAATTAAAAAATATATATTTTGTTAAATAATTCATTCCAAACATCAAAACTTTCCGATTGGCGTTGCTTAAACATATTTTTTAATGAATTGTTCAATCAGTATAACTTTGATTACTATAGAAGTAAATTAAACAGTAACCGTTTACATTGTTTATGAAAATGACATTTCGATTATATAGTGAACTTGTCTAGGTTTTCTAAAAATGTCATTGAATTAAAACTTGTAGATTTGTTTCCCTGCTCTCTATTTCCTAGTGTTTCGTTTTCGTACTAGGGTTAGAGGGAAGTCTAAATCATATAAAGGCATTTTTCTTCGTCTTTATTCTTACTCAGTGCTATACTTTTCAGTTAGGGACAAATCATGTAATTGTGCTGTCCAATGTATACATTTTATAGATTACTTGCATTTGTTTATCTACATTCTGTCTTGTAATGTATATATCACATTTGTATACTTGTTTTGTCTGTAGTTATTTAAAAACTGGTTGTGTAATTGTCGTTCAAATTTTCATATATTATGGAGGATAATAAATAAATAAAATAAGAGCCCGGTTTGAGCCGGGTGATGCTCCCCGAATAGGCTTTGGACACAGGAAAGTACACCTCTTTAGTTTCAGAGTTATGTGTCTTGAAAAAGTTCAAAGTACAATTATTCCAAAATTAGGCAAGGCAGAGTAACTGTTCTTTGCACTGCACTTCTTATCAATGTGATCTATCAACCTACAAAGTTTCTTGATGATATCTCTCATGATTTCCGAGTTATGTCCCTGACAACTTCAAAAAGTAAAAATAAACAAAGGGCAATAACTCCAGAATTAGGCAAGGCAGAGTGATGATTCTTGTGCACTGCACATCTACCTAATGAGATGTATCTACCTACAAAGTTTCATGTTGATATCTCTTATAGTTTTACAGCTTTGTCCTGAACAAGATTTTTCTAAAAGTGGAGATTATTCAAAAATGAGGCTTAACAGAGTTATGGTTCTTTTGCACTGCACCTCTACTCAATGAGATCTATCTACCTACAATGTTTCATCTTGATATCTCTTATAGTTTTAGAGTTATATTCCGGACAAAGTTCAAAGTGTTAAAATTAACAAAGGGCAATAACTCCAAAATAAGGACAAAAAGAGTTATTGTTGTTATGCACTGTACATCTACCGATTGAGATCTATTCACCTACAAAGTTTCATGTTGATATCTCTTATAGTTTAAGAGTAATGCCCCGGACAAGATTATTCTATAAGGGGAGATAATTCAAAAACCAGGCAAAATATAGTTATGGTTCTTTGACACTGCACTCCCCCTCAATGCCCTCTACCACTGTATGAAGTTTCAACAAATTATCTCCAAGGGTTTTCAAGTTATGCTCCGGACAAGACAACGGACGGACAGACGGACGTACCAAATTTTCAGGTTTATGAGCTATTTCTATTGTTCTTTTCTTTTGTTTCCTTGTGGGCAAACTATTGTTTCCTTATGAGCTTACTATTATTTACAGAATGAAGTCCTTTGTTCTCTTTTGTCCAAGTGTACCGTTAGTAAGCTCATATACCTAAATTGTTTGTGCGGACGGACGGACAGACGGACAAGGCGCCGACTATATGCTCCCCCGAAATTTTTCGGGAGCATAAAAAGCAAAATAAAAAAAATGTTTACTATAGTATTTCAAAATATGAAAATGATAAAAATATTCCTTCTGAAAATTTTCAAAATGTCATCATAGCATTTTTTCAAAATGATTTTTTAATAGAGTCCATTCAATTGTAGGTGTTTGTGAACAACTTTTCAAAAGACGCAAAAAATCGCCAACAGTTGGTTGATACTCGTCTACATACGTGCGAATCATTCGATCTATTTTTAAACTTTGACTTCGCTTATCAGCGTCAATATGATCAATAGTTGCTTGTCTTAACTTCAAATGTTTTGCAATTATCTCCCAATCGTGGCCAAAATAGTCGTGAAATCCAACACACATTTCATTTGACAAGGGTGTGTCCAGTAAATCCTTCGGAAGTTCTTCAATCCATATTTGTTTATCTGAAACAACCAATAAAACAGTATCATACTATCGCAAAGTAACGTTATTCACCTAGCTTTAATAGAAACGTTTCCGAAACATTCAGTTCATGTTAGACGTTAGCTATGGGGCAATGATTGAACGGCATGGAATAGCAATTTAGTACGTTTTTGGCTTCAATGGATTAAAATGAAATAAAACATTATTTTTAAAGCATGCAGTGGTAATGCTCATACCATTATATGTTAAAAATGTTCAGTTAAAAAGGGGCAAGCTACACAAATATTGCTTTCAGAATCATGCCCCTTGTCTTACAACTGCACGCACCTTGTCATGATAAGAATTGAATACGTGATGCATAGTGGTGGTTGGTCATGAAATTTGAGCTCTCCGTGTTTTGGGGAAAATTGTGGAAATATCGGTGAAAAAGGACTTATTATTGCTATTTGTCTTTACTTTTTTGTCCATGGACCCGATTTTTATCAATTAATCCCTTCGATTTACAGCTAAAAATAAATTCGGAATCCCGACATCCTTTCGATTTCTATTATGAAAAGACATATATTGGTCTCCCCTTCATGTCATATTAATGAATGAGAACGGAACAAAGCTTTAAATAGATATGACCTTAACATTGAGAAAGCTCGAAAATATATTTATAGAAGTAGTTTAATTAATAGCTATGGTAATTGAACGAACTGGAGAATTTTGCAGAATAAAATGCAAACATATTCAATCATAAATTGCACCCTTTATAATTGATCGAAAAAAATTAAAGTAAATTAATAGCTCCCCTGATTATTTGAATCGACCCCCTGGTGTCCCGAATTTTTGCTATTAGAAGTTGATTCAACTTTGTTTGAAGGCAATCTGTTATATGGTGGTTTGAGTGGATTTTGATTTGCTGAATACTGTGACATGTATCTTAACAACAGAAACTTTCGTCGAGGTGTTATGTGTTTATTGATAGGAATGTAAATACACTTGTGGGTCAGACGAGGATTTTGAAGCAATTCCACAAAATAGTAGATCCATCTCCCAATAAATCTATTAACAATAGCTCTTTATTTAAAACCTATGCCAAGTAGCTTTGATATCTTTGACTCACATAAACATGATGTTAGTGAATTTCCTCATACCCTATGATACCTGTCTTAAATACAGGCAGAGCTGCATTACTGGTACTGGTACTGGTACTGCAGTACGTACTGCAGCGGTTTTGCAAGTACTGGTACTGATACTGAATTACTCTTACAAAATTTTGCTACTACTGGTACTGCATTACTGTCTTAAAAAGTGGTACTGCTACTGCATTACCCAGTACTTTTGGTTTTGATAAAAATTAAAAATAGCATCAATTTTTCTCATAAAATAAAGCTGTAAATGACATTAACTATATTTTTTTTTTGTGAAAAAATAAGTTATTAAATCTATAGATAATTTGCTGCAATATTCCTTCAAATGTTAACAGTATTCATCATAAAAAGCACCAAAGACTTTAAGTAAAAATTAAATTAAGATAAACAGACTCAATAACTCTTTACCCTTAAATATCCTTTTTAAAATCTGTTATTACTTTGTATTTACTATTAAAAGAGCAAAATAAACACTAATTAACTTCTTCTATTCTAAATAATCCCATTTCAAGTGAAAAAAGTGATTTTGTTAGCACCATAAAAAGTTGTTATTTACTTTGGTATAAATTGAATAGAGGTGTGAAGGTGTGAAAGGCAACAAAAGACTGCTGTGTTTAAAATGAAAGATGTTTGCATTGTATTTATACAGTTGACTGGTTACTAAACAATTAGATAGATAGATAGATACTTTATTAACTTAAACTTTTACAAGTTTTTCGTTATAACAAATAATATATGATACAAATTTACAATCACATGACAATGGCATACAAAGGAACATTGAAATTAGTGCATAACATAGTGGGAGAAAGTAAACACATACACACGCACACACGCACGCACGCACACAAGTACACCAACACACACACGCACGCAACGGTAAACAATAATATTTATCACATGGAGAAGGAGGATGGGTATGTGAATACAGTTGCAATTCAGTTTATGAATACAAAAATTATACACAACCTAGATTTAGTAAAGTTCAATATGCAAATAACATTTACTTTTAAGTAGTATAAATGATATGAAAAACTAAACAATTTGACTCGCTTTAACAGAAAAAGCTTTATACAAAAATTTACCGAGATTCTTTACTATTTTAAAATTCCTAGATTGCATCAATTCTACAAATTTGTACACACTTGGATGTCTGTAATAATAAGATTTTATAAAAGTCTTTCTTAATTCATCGTAAAACGGGAAAATGATTACAAAATGATATTCATCTTCTATATGGTTTTTGTTACAAAGTAGGCATTTTCTTTGATTGCGGTCTATTCGATTTGGCGCATATGATGTGCGGCCTGTTTCAATTCTCAGTTTATGTGATGATAAACGCAGTCTTGATGTAGCAATTCTAAACTTTTTAGGTAAAATGTCTATATAAGATTCAAATTCAAAACTATTTTTAATATATCCATACGATACTTCACTGGTAGATAACTTACGTTCCCATTTTTGTTTAAAAACATCAGTTACTCTTCCTTTAAACAAAATATGAAATTTTTTCAAGTCAACTAAACCTGGATTGTACCATACATAGGAAAATCCGTATTCATCTAAAACAGATTTAACATTATAAACCCAATTATTTTTATTATTCTTAATTTCAAGTAGACAATCATATAGTTTACTGATCAAGATATTTTCCGTCGATACAGTTTTGCACCAAAATTTAATAATTCTAACATATCTATTTATATACATTGGAAATCGACCTAACTCTCCATAAATACTATTTGTACATGTTGACATTTTAACATTTAATAATTGTTTACAAAATTTTAAATGAACACGTTCTATTTCTTTCGATTTTCCAAAGCCCCATATTTCGCATCCGTAATTCAAGGTGGCAGCAACAAAAGCATCAAACAGTTGGCACATAACAGAGGGTTTAACGGCATAATGTTTTGTTTTATGTATTAAACATTTAAAGCTTTTAATCCTTTACCTACTAGTGTCGTCTGATTTAAAGTATAAGAGCCCGTGTAATTAAAAACAGTGCCTAGATAATTAAAGTTATTTACAGTTTCTATTAAGCTACCTTTGTATGTCCATTTTTCGTTTGCATTTTACGGGCCTCGCTTTCTGAATACAACAATTTTTGTTTATCAGTGTTGACTTCAAGCCCCCACTTATCACAATATTCATTTAGCAAATCAAGACTATGCTGTAATTCCACAGGACTTTTACCAAGTAAAACCATATCGTCAGCAAATAATAAAAGAATAAAAGTAATATCGTCAAGAGTTAAACCACACAAAGGACTATCTTGTAAGAACAGTTCTAGGTCCTCTATAAAAAGAGAAAATAGTAGAGGCGACATTATCTCCCCTTGTTTCAAGCCCACAGCGCATGCAAAAAAGTCTGAGTAAGAGTTACAAGCCTTTACACATGTTTTAACATGTGAATACATACTTCTTAAAATTCCCAAGATTAGATATGACATGAATATATGTTGTAAATATTGATTGTAAAAAGTATGTTAAAACTAAAAAGTTGTAAATATGTTATGTTAACTTTAAAGTAAATTATGATTTTATTTCTTTGCTGAGTAATACTTGCAATTATTTGTTTGACACTGTATTTTTTTAAACTTTGAAGAATATATAAAAGTAATGGTACTGATACTTAATTACTTCACCAAAAAAAGTACTGGTACTGCAGAACCGAGCTAAAATCTAGTACTGGTACTGGTAATGGTACTGCATAATTTGCCAAGTACTGGTACTGGTACTTAAGTACTACACCCTAAGTACTGATGCAGCTCTGAATACAGGTAACAGTCTTCCATTGATAAATAATGTTTCAATATATCAACATACCGTGCAAATTTATTCATGATTTTAAATGTACCATCATTTTTGTTAACGCGTATAACAAACAAATCCTGAATTTAGTCTTTTAGAAATTCATCCCAAACTTTTCATTCCAATGTGTGTTTTTCTTTCAGTATTTATCTGAGACTTAAAATGTAGCTACTATATCTTAAGTGCAAGGCATCAAAATAAACCATTTTTCTTAATATAGAAAAATGCCTCTTTTTGTTTTTATTTTGATATGCTGTTTGTATATTTGTTACAATTATAGTAAAAAAAAAACAGACTTTGTTCAATTAGACTACTGTTTTTATGTTCCAAAGAAAATACAATTGCTTTTTTTATTTTCAGCAAGCCGACCAAAGCTCATGATGAACAATGTCTTCCGTCTGCCCATCCATCTATGATATACATGTACATTTCTGGTAAAATCAAATTAACCATTGAAAAGTGTAAAAGAATATTTGGTCATCAGATGTCTACTTGTTCATCGTTAATTGCTGCATTTCTTGCTTGGACGCCATTTGATGCTTTGCAACAATGCATTTCTTGTTCAACATAATACACCATTTGGCGCAAAACATGTAACGGACATTTTGAAAATAAAGTCGATTTGGCTTATTTACATGTGGATTTGTTGTTGATATTTGAAGAAAGTGAGAAGCATAGATGAAACAGGAAATGTTCATGTTTTGAAAAAAAATATAAAGATATAGATAGAAGGGTGACAGCAACCGAGGAATCTGATATTTTTATAAGCAGTGAATACGAAGAAACTAAAACAAGAGGGACCTGATGACCCTAGATCGCTCACCTGAATTATCAAACTCATCCAAACAATTAACTAGACATGCATTCTGACCAAGTCTCATGACAGGTGAGTCAAACATGTGACCACTACAGTGTTAACAAGTTAACAAGGATTATCCATGTTTGAGCAGTGCGACCTAGTTTTTTACCCAAGTGACACATATTCAAACTTGACCTAGAAATCATCAAAACAAACTTTCAGACAAATTTCCAGGATACTTGGATCAAAACAGTAGCAACTAGAGTGTTAAC